TAATGTATAGTAAAAATGAAAACTTTTTATTGGATTGTCGTTTAACAATGTTCGTATTTAAAAATAATAATCTCATATCAAAATTTAGCAGGTACGTATTTGAATGCTAACAACTGAATATACATATACCCAGTACGGCAAAGCTCAACCAATTATCTCAGAAAAACTCATTTATTACTGCTTGTGTAGCAACTAACTTCAAATTGATATACAATCACCTAGTAGCCTCCTTTAGATAAACCAAATCCTTACACTTTTGATACCTTTGCAAATACATACATAATTCAATATTTGTTAAAAAATCATCTAACTTTGGGCAATTAACTACTTCAGCATTTAATATTAACATGCCGACTTTGAAGTGCTTTAAGCCAATTGCCTTTTAAAGTAGTTGAAATCAAATGCATATTCGAACAATCGACTTGCTGCTTGCGCACAATTCAAACTGAAGATTTGACAGCACACTTACATGTCTGCTGTAGCTCAGCGTGAAGATATGCCTGCTGTTATTTATTAGCTTCCAGAAGGTCCGGGTTCGAATCTCATCAGAGATGATTATAATTCTTTTTTTTTTGTCTCGGGAATATGAAAGGGCATCTGTGAAGTGCAGAACGAAAGCGTGTTCAAACGAACTAAACGAACGCGTGCTGTGGTGTTGATTCAAATTCAACATTTGAAAGCACATTTACATGTCTGGCTGTGTCTGAGTACACAAAGATGCCTGCCACAATTTGTTGATTTCCAGAGCATCAGGGTTCGAATTCCATTGCAGGCAAAACATGCAAATTCAAAATTTTTATTTTTTTTTGAAGTGCAAAATGAGTACTTTAATTGACGTTTTTAGTTAGATCAAATACGTTTAGGTTTGATTTTACTATTTATTTCCCTCAGTGTATAACAAACGTACTCACTCCACAATGCTTATTGGGCTATGTTGCCGAGAGGTAGGTACTCCATGGAGTATCCCCTGTAGTAGCTTTTTGCTACTCTGAGCTGATGCAGAGCTGAAGTATATGGTCCTAGTTTAGGACATCGCAATGTTATTTGGACCACATTTTTTAAATGTATTTCGGTTAATTTTGGAGTACTCCTTCACCCTTAGGGAGTACTCTTTACATACGTGCATAAAGTTGTCGCAATTTTTGCATGGTATCTGCGAGTATGTGTGTGATCAATGAAAAAAAATAAAAATATTAATTCCATTGCACATGAATATGTACTCATACCAATAAATGCTCGAACATCAGCACAAACGGATACGAATGAATGGCATGTTCATGCAATAAATATGGCCATTGAAAATACAAAACTATGAAAGTACATTTACACAAATGAATAAGTGCACACATATGTATGTACGTATGTGCATGTATACTCAATAGGATGCCTCAGGAAAAACGTTGTTGCATCATCGATGAAATTGTAAAGTTTGATATTTACTATGGCTCTCGTTAATTCGATGCCGTAGTTCCCGCCAATACAATGCGTTTGTTATAAAATTTTTTGCTGGATCATTTCTTTTTGGTAACTACCTTAAGAGATTTGTATCAAAGTTTTTTTAAAACAAGCCAGCACTTTTCAATGCAGCTTTCATGAAAATTTGAGTAGCTCAGCACTTGAAAGACATTAGACGAATATAGTCAGATAGAAATCTGACGTCAGAATTTTAGTTTTCAAAGGACCTTAATAGATATGATTACTTCAAAATATTATTTAAAAAATTCAGTGCAATGTAGAAAAACATTGTGGGTATCAAATTGAAAAGAAAATTCTGTATTGAAATAGAATAAATTTTTGGTGCACAAGGACGAGTAGGTATTGAAAATGCCCTTTCAAAAATTTATCCTTGAAATTTTGCAATGCTAATTTTGAAAAAAAAAAATTAAATGATTAGAACCAATATACACACGGATATATCCTCGAAATTTATCCTTCTATCTTCATAAAAATAAATCATATCTTTGAAACTACAAAGCTTCTTTAAGAAATCCTGATGTCAGAGAGAAAAGCTAAAAATGCAGTTTTGCTATATCTGGCACGTGGTTTCGTGAGTATATTGATTGCCTCGTGTGTTTCGAAATTTCTTTATTTTTGCCATACGGTCTAATATGTTGCAAGATTTTTGTTCATTTAAACTTTTTTAATATTCTGCCTTTGGATAGGTGGCAACCTTTTAAATAAATTATCTAAAAAAGCTTAATATAACACTTTCCGCTCGTTCCCATCTTGTAATATATTGCATTTAAAATTTATATTTTTAGGTTCTACTTTTTAGAGAAGTGACAACTCTATTGAAAAATGTTTCCAAAACTTTTTCAAATGCCATACTGCAGTATTTAATTTATCTTATCAATTTAATTGACTAAAATTTCAAAAATATTTGCGAAATCAAGCTCCCTAAACTTTTTTAGTTTGAAACCCTTATTGTAATATTTCATTTTTCTCCTAAATTTAATTGAATTAAATTAACCAAACAGTGGGCAAACCTCCTAAAAAGTATTTGCGACAGTAAGCTTTCTCAATTATCTATTGTTAACACCCATTTTGTAATATTTAATTTATCTTATCAATTTACTTAAACTGAATATTTCTATCAGGGGGCAACTCCCTTTTTTAAATTTCGGCTATAATATCGAATAAATTAATAAAAAATGTTCAAATCAGTTTAGCCAAATCAACTTGAAGTTAGGGAGACTAACGGGCAGCTATTCATTTATATTTATAAAGATTTATCAAATAAAGTTGCCAGACTCTCAAAAACTCAAGTAGATACTTTATTTTTAGAATTAACAAAAAATTTTCGCTGCATATCGCTGTTGATTGGCGCTCAGGTTACGAATGAGTTCGCCATAATTGCTGATGACCTGCCAAACAAAGAAATTAAATGGGCATTTTTTAAACTTTTTGCTTTGAAATTTACATCGCTACTTCCTCGAGAGTCGACTGTATAAAACCCCTGTCCAGGAAGCTGAAAAATTTTGCAGCAATTGAATTTATCAAAAAATTTCCTTCAGCCCTTTAACTTGAGCGTGAGGCATACATACCTACATATATTCATATATGTAAACGCATGCACATTAGTACATTCATAGGAAAATAAATACTGTGAAAAAATTTTTGCACGTAGGTTTTCGGATGCTCATATGTATGTACATACATACAGTGACGAACTAAACTATTGGCCCAATGAATTGTTCGCAATATATCCAAAGGTTTTTATTCTAATTTATTTGCGATAATTTTTTATAAAAATATACGAGCCCTAACCGCCAAAATAACGTAAGCGACATTTTTTCAAAATTTTATTTTTGATGCAGAAATATTCCTGGGGCATCTAGATGTACTTCTGCATCAAACAGAAAATTTTGAAAAAAATGGCGCTTACGTTATTTTGGCGGTTAGGGCTCGTATAGTTCAAACTACACATAAAAAGAAAATCTCTAAACTTTGTGCGAAATTCAGGAAAATTCAATAAATTTGCATACTAATTTGAAACTTGCTATTTAGATTTTTTAGAAAAATTTTAAGTATACAGTTTTATAGCCCATTCAATTCTAGTGTGGATTTTTGGCAATTTTTTAAGTGGAAGGTGTTGCTCATTTTCTCCATACAAAAAATAATTGTCGAATATACTTTGTATGGAAGAACCTGAATGAAAAAAAATTCCCAAAAATCAACGCGATTTTCTAGCAACTACAAGCTTGCACTTTTTATGCTAGAATTGAATGGGCTATAAAACTGCATAGTTAAAATTTTTCTAAAAAATCTTAATAGCAAGTTGCAAATTAGTTTGCAAATTTATTGAATTTTCCAGAATTTTGCACTAAGTTTAGAGATTTTATTTTTATGTGATTTGGTGTAGAATAAACTATATTTTCATAAAGAATCATATAATATAAATTAGAATAAACAATTTTGCCTATTTTACGAAAAATTCACTGCCAATACTTTTGTTCGTCACTGTACATACTACATACATACTTTGTAATAAATATTGATGAGCTGCTTGCAAATGGAGTCCAGAAGAGCTTCCATTATAAGCACCACTCTGTTTCGTATGTTTGTCTTTTTTCAGTTGGCTATGGCTTTGTTTTTTGTTAGTCGTGTAAGCAATATGCAGGAATTGAATTATTGTTAAAAAAAGGAGCTATTCATAATGATCTGGCTTATGGGTTTGTGCTTCAGTTACAACATAATGCGCTTTAATAAAAGGCGAAAATTTTTGTGCGAATAGAGAATGGGTACTTTTGTTCAGTTATATTTTATCTTTAAAGTATTTGTTTCTTTCTGTTGAAGTCCTGCAAATTCAGGGCCTTTTATTCTTCAATACCCTCGACCTGGACCTTGCCCACCCCTGACATATGTACTAACTTAGAGCTCAGGGCATACATCAAGATAACCAACCGTTCAGCTATAGAAAAACTAAAAATGCAGATTGCTAGTACTTTTTACGCTAATTTTAACTATATAAATATTATTTGCCGCAATTAAAAAGAAAAGCAGATATGAGAGGTAAAACAAAAAAATTGTGATATTTTAAAACATTATTATTTTCTAAACTGCGTAACCGATTTAAGAACTAATGATGTCAAAATAAAGACAATTAATTTATCTTCAAGTTGATATATAAAATGTGTATGCTTTTTTATATATTTAAGCCAAAAATATTATAAAACCAAAAAAATGTCATAATTTTTTCATAAAATAACCCTTTTTTAGAAAAAGTCCATAATCAATGCTAAAAAAATTTATATTATTGAAAAAGACCAAGTTCTTACCTTTGATTTGATATACTTATTATATTATGATTTGCTTTTGAGTTTTCAGAATTCAGTGATAATAAAAAATATAAATGCATGTATGTGCAAATGCATATTTTAGTTAATTAAACAAGGCGAGTTAACGGACTTTTTGGGAAAGGGTACTGTTTTTGTTGGAAGCGGGAAAATTTATGCAGTTTTATATGTACATATATGTTTATAATTACAGCCATTTTTCATTTGTTTGTGTTCCGGCGGAGATAAAAAACGTGTTTTGAATATTTTTTAAAAAGATGAATACTCTTAATTTATTTAAAATATATAAAATGTTTGAAAGTGAGGACGGTCTTAAGATTAATGCAAATGTGCTCGAACAGTTGCAGGAGTGGAATTTAATTCCTCGTGAAGGGCAATATTTATGCGCTCGGGGCCATCCGCTGAAATTGTTGGAGTGCACTGCATCATCGGATGGATTCGTTTGGAGGTAAGTTTACCGTGCGTCTATTAAACTGTAATACAAAAAAACATTATGTGTAGGTGCCGTAAAATTTCGAAGTCTGGAAAGCAAGTGCGAACGTGTAATCAGCAAATTTCATTAAGAAAAAACACATTCTTTGATAGGTCGAGGCTATCGATGGTGAAGCTCATTGCATTTTCTTACTTTTGGTTGAAGAATGTGACACAAGATTTTATAATTGAGGAGTTAAGTATTACAAGACCGACCGCAGTTGATTGGTGTAATTTTTGCCGTGAGGTAGTGTATGACGGCATGGTTGTAAAGGGGCGGAAAATTGGAGGTGTCGGGTCTATTGTTGAGATAGACGAAAGCAAATTCGGACGCCGGAAGTATCATCGTGGACACGCTGTTGAAGGGCAATGGGTTTTTGGTGGAGTGGAGCGTGGTACCAATAAGTGTTTTCTTGTTCCCGTTGAAAAGCGGGATAAGGAAACTTTATTGGCAGTTATAAAGAATTGGATTCTTCCTAACACGACCATAGTTTCCGATTTTTGGAAGGTGAGTTTAATGCCTAAGTGCCCATATATGT